AGTTGAACAGATTTCAAATTTGCTACCAAGAATGCATAAAAAATGATATTTGAAAAAATTATTAGTAATGTTTGAACGGTGATAAATTTCAATAAAACTTGGATTTCAACAAACTTACTTTTGTCATTTCAATTGATTGTTTTGCAAGATCTTGCCGATGTTTTTTTGCGTATCCTGATATCCAATTTGCTATGGTTGTTAATTTTGGAATCTCTTCATCTTCTAATGTTCCCTCATGCACCATTGAATGTAACTCATTCAACATATCTTCAGCTGTATATCTATCACTTTTATCCACATCTCCCGCAAGAAAAAAAGCTTCAAGCAAAGGAACTACATTCTTGCTAATACGTTTTCCTTTTTCTTTTATACCAAATTTTTGACTTTCTTTTAAAGCCCAGCCTGCCGGTAATAAAAAAATACTGCTCGAACTGTAAATAATAGTCATGTATTATGTTATATTACTTTATATTACTTAATATATTACAAATTCCTACCTGTTTAGTTTATTCATATTATATAAATTTGTAGTATCTATCCGTTTATCTATAACAGATAATAAACTCATTAGTTTAAAAAATTATATACCACTAATGTAAGTAGTAAACCTCATAATATAGAGATACACAAAATTTATATATCATACTAGGAAATAACCAATGAGTTGCCTAAAATTTATTCAATACTTATGCCTATACAGAATAATTTCTAATTACCTGAATTATCCATATTTACTAATATTTCTTGGGTTATTTTTTCTTGTAATATATTAACCAACTCATTCCTTTTGAATCCTTTATGATTAATTTTTCATTTTTCCAATTCCATTTTAAGCTTATCTTTAGTTAATCGCGTGGGGTTTATCTCTGATAAAAATAAGCTTATTAGAATAAATATAAATTTTGATTATATCGAATATACTAACTTGATATATGTGGCAAAGGTATGTGCTATTCTGTTTCTGGTGTGGAATGATCTGAAAATTGAGGATGAGGTTTAGTAATCTCGGTCATATAGAGTTTTGATAATTGTGCAGGGAAAAATTTTTTCCAGTCTCCTATGTTAGGAATGGAGCGTGCCAAAATATAGCTAGCAAATTCTCTTTCAATTGGCCAATACTACTCAAACCAGTTAGAATTGCCGGGTAATGAAAATTTTTTCTTGCTCGTTCCTATTTTCAAAAAATAAAATTCAAATTATAAAATATTATTTTGAGATTATCTACAT